GGTATTTACACACAGGGGGTGATTGAAAACAATGACCCTTTCTCATCATTTCTACTTTGTATATACAGCTATACATAAGTACATATATGTGTTGTACTTGCATATATGTTACCTGTTCCCCAATCACACATATTTAGAGATAGATTTAGTGGCTTCTCTTGAGCTTCAAGCAAGTAAGTGGAAAAGTAAATTTCAAAATGTTTTCTAGCTTCTAGTCTAATGTTCTTTCTTCTTATCCATAGCAGATTCTTATCGGGACGTAGATTTGTCTGGAAAGTCTGGCTATTTCTAAGTCATGTGTACCACTTAATCACAAATTTATCTTGAAATCTTATTTATCCTCATAATAAATTTGTACATTGCTGGATTTTTAGCTCAATTTTCTTCTTTAGCTAAGACATTATAACTTGATATGCATTTAAGCTGCTCACAGCAATACATGCAAATGTTGTTCTGTACATCTTGGAAAGGAACAACTGATCCACTGTCGAGGAGCATGAACTTTGAGTTGCTAAGTTTTCTCATTCAGTAACAGTGATATTTCCATTATTAAACAAAGGGCGTAAGACTGGGCCCAGCAGACCCATCCCTTACTTTCCCACCATAAACTTGTACTTTCGTGCTATAGTAGCTGGCTGTGCACCTTCCCCTGAGGGATACGGGAAGCAGCCTGTGTTTACCCACTTGGTATGATGAATGGCCAGGACTGTGCCTGTGTGCAGAAGTGGCAAAATGGGATCTTTACCCACCTTATGCTCCATCGAACTGGTTTTGCATATGTTTACCTGAGTATCACAGAGGATCCATTGGCTCACACCATTTTGCTGGTAGAAGTAGCCCAATTCAGTAAAATGCCACATGGAAAACCAGTTGGACGAAGTCAAAAGTGAATCATCAAATTACTCACATATGGATGATGAAGATGATCCATTATGGTAAAATACATGCTTTCATAACAGAAAAGTGGTGTGGGTGGATGATGATAATGGTGATGATGATGGTGATGATGATAATTTTGATCTTGTGACAGTGAAATGGAGCCAGAATCAACTGATACAGATACAGGGAATGCAGACCTCCTTGATTCAGATGACGAACAAAACAGAAATGTAAGTACATATCTGACTAGTCAAAATACTGTAAAATGGCCATGCAACCAAATGGGACAATCCAGTGTTAGAACTAGGTCCAAAAATATACTGAAGGTCTTGGCAGGGGTAAAGGTATTGGACACAATGCCAGCACTGCTATTCAGTGTTGGAAATTGTACAAGATGCTGTGCATGCTACAAGATGCTGTGAAACACACAAAAGCTGAAATGCAAGGAAACTGTTTTAAAATTGCAACAAAATATTTCCTCAAAGTAGTTTAAGATGAACATTATTGGTTGTAGCCCGTGTAAATTTTGCCTATGGCGCTAGTATATTAGAACCCAAAGGGAATTTATCCACATAGACTGAGTTCCTTGTCTTGCACTGGAGACCGTAGTTGCATGGGGATTATAAGTATTTGGGGAATAACCTGTGTTTGTACTGAACATGTATGGTATTTTTCCTAGACTTTATTCCTTAAGTAATGTAGCATAATGACTGTTACACAGTATTTATATTTTATCAGTGATTATAAGCAACTGGGAAATGATTTAAAGTATACCACCAGATATGTTTATATTATACACAAATGGTACACGATTTTGTGCAACAGAGGTGGGCATTCACAGATTTTGGTATTTGAGGGGTCCTGGAACCAAACTGCCAGGAGTATTCAGTGATCATGGAACATATATTTAAAGTACTTTGAAGCAGGCTCCTCTGTTAGCGTTTTAATGATCTGCCAGAAAAACATCAGAAAAGTAAAATACACTCTATCATGAAAACTGTAACATTTGAAATGTACCCAAGTGTACCTACCTTTATTTTCAGTATGACTTTAGAATCCCTGGCCTGTCATTGAATTTACACCTGGCTATCTTGCCTGAATCTTAAATTCATCATATCACCTTCTTTATTTTAGGCAGCCAATTCCCTGGTGCTTAACTTAGATCAGAAATCACCTGAGTTTTAACAACCAATAATTTTAATCTTAAGTTATTTTGAGGAGATATGTTGTTGTAATTTTAAAATAGTAAAGAAAGTTTACTTTTAAAGATTATTTTGCCCAGGGCATGTACAGGAAGTGTTAAAATACTTAAGAAAATAAGAAATGAAAAATTAAACTTAGGTGCACTAATAATCTATATTATCCCTATCCGTTATGATAGTGAGAATTTTGGCCTCAAATAACATTTTGCTGCTAATTTAAATACAGTGATCTTTTAACAGAGCTCTTATTCTCAAAGGTGTTCATCATCATCAGTGACAACTGTACTCAGATGAAAATGTAATACTTCACTATGTATCAATAATCGTCAGCACAAAATACAGTTAAGCAAATCCTCATATGCATTGCCTTCCATCAGATTAAAACAATGAAAACTAAGACATTTATCAAAAATAATAGTCCTAGGAATCACTTCATCACTTCAATCAAAGGAAGTTAAGTTTTAAAAGTAAAAATGATTATAGTTATTGATTTTCCTCAGCTGCTTAAAAGTAAGTGTGGCCTTGTAGTCTTCTTAGCATGAAACAAAATATTGAACTCTGCCCTTCAGGCATGCCACCATACTTCAAATGCTGATCTTATCATCGCAGGCAAGTCAAACAGAGTTGGACTTTAAAAGGAAGAAAGGAAAACCCTGGAGTCAGTGGGAAGCATCAGGGGTCAAGCTACCGCTCTGGATCCAATCACAATTTACCCAGGGTCACAATGCCACAGGGACACCGGGCTTCCAGCAGACAGTTTTCAATAAAAACACATAACCAGAATTTAAATATAGAGACAGTCAGATTCTGAAATTTATCTTGTATTCCATTTGGGATTTTCCTACATTTTGTGAACAAGAAATAGAACCACTCTCATGTATCTGCTACTCGAAGTTTCTATGGAATAATAAGTAATCATAATAAATTATAAAATAATAACTCCAAAGAGAATTGGGAATTGGCAAGCAGTTGGAAGGGGACTTTTTTCACATATTTTTTTTTTCTTTTTTGGTTTTTCTGCGGTACCGGGAACCGAACTCACGACTTTGCGCTTGCCAGGCAGGCGCTTTTTGCCGCTGAGCTAAATCCCCAGCCCCTTTTTTTCATATGTTTATAAAGCATTGTCCACGTCCTGTGTTACTAGTTGTTTCTTTTGTTAAAATTGTGAAGTATATCCATCAACTAGAAATGGGAATTAAGTAGTCCCCAAACAGTACACAGAATAGGGCTAAAGGTCAACTATCTGAACAATACTTGTTTGCTCTGATGTTCTGCTGCTTTTTTAGAAACTTCATAACTTTCCATCTTTGCTTACCGGAACCTAACTACCAGTGCTTTTCCTGGAATCTGACATCTCCAGTGATATTTTGAATGGAGTTTGTGCTGTGGCCTGGAAAATACTGTGCATGTGTCAGAGAGGGGTCAACACCCTCAACTACAGGAGCTCAAGCTAAAAATCCGAAGTGATTGAAAGGATAGGGACTTCTTCCGGAAATTACACACACACAAGCAATTTAGATTGAAATTTACAAGGGCAGCAACAATTTCTTACGCATCTTTCTCTTCTGAGTTTAAACTAATTTTGAGGAGAAAAAGGGGCAAAGTAACTATTACTCGAATTCTGCATTGTTGTTTAATAATCAGATATATGGTTGGAGGAAAACAAAATTATCCCCAATAAAGCATTTTGGGATAATAAAGAAGATCACTCAAGGAAATTGAGAATGCGCTGTAATAATGAGGTGTGTGTGGGCGGAGACCTTTTAGGAAGGGGTTTTACACAATACTGAAAGCAGATAAACACAAGGGGGCAGGAAGAGCTCAAGCTCTGGCTTCAAACTCGGCCCGCTGAAAGGGGACCTGAACTATTTTAGTCCCCCTCCAGATATTTATCAGTTCTCTTGGCATGCAGAGAAATGCGATGCTGACACGTAGGTTTAGTTTGTACTTGGTCTAATTACTGCGAAGAGAACAGGGGCGTCTCTCATGACAGCTACCCCAACAGCAGCGTCTCTGGGACAGCCTGGGGCTACATTCCCTAGAATTTATTCTTTGGTGCGAGTCTAGCGATTCTGATCAGACTGCATTTCTTACGCATTCCACAGGCCCCTTTTTCCTTTCACTCGGTGAACTTCGTATGCAAAGGAGGGGCTTGTTAAAAACTCACCGATCCCAGGACTGCGCCCATTGTGATTTATAAGAGGGCAGCGAGGGGCGTGGGGGTGACGGGTGCAACCTGCGCTAGGCTTGGCTTTTTCATTCCAGCTGCCCTTCTTTTGCAAAAGCGTCTGTTCCAGTCTTTGCAAAATGCTCTGGCTTTCCATCCAAACTTGGGCAACAGTGCGGGTCATCTTCCTCTGGAGTTTTGGGCATTTCCGTGAGAAGTGACCATCGTCAGGGAGGGATTTCACTGAAGGGAGGCGGAGGGCTAAACTGTGTGATCCTCCATCTCCGACGGACCAAGACTCGAATAAGTCGCAGTGGAGGGTTCCGGCGCCTCTGCGGGAACCCCAGACGGAGGGGCCCAGGGAGAGGAGCGCCCCGGAGACCGCAGCTCCAGGCCGCTGCACCCGCACTTCCGAGACAACCTGTTGCGCCTCTTCTTCCCCAACTCTCCGCAGTTTCCCCGCCTTGCACCCAGGAACTGATTGACAGAAATCACTACCCAACCCTCGACTCGGGGCCTCCTCCCGGGACCGACGATTGGCCTCCCGGGAGCACTGGAGTAAGGGGGTGCGAGCCGAGAGGTCCGCGGACCTGGGAAGGAGGCGGGGAGGACGCGCTGCTCCGGGCGAGCGCCGCGGTCCGGGCGGGCTGTGCCTCGGGCTTCGGCTCCAGCCGGGGCGCCGCCGCGCGACTCTCCCATCCCCCGGGCCCAGCTCGGGCTCCCCGAGGCCCCGGCAGGAGGCGTGCGGAGCCCCCGGCGCTCTCCGAACTTGTCTGCCGCAGCCTGCCGGCGCGCACTTCGTGGCTCTCGGAGCGACTGTCGGCGCCCGCGCACCCGGACCATGCGGGCAGCCCGGACCCCGGGCGTCGCTCCCCGAGCGCGCGGGGCAGCCAGCGCCGCCAGCTCGCAGCCGGTCCCTGCGCCGCCGCCCTGGCCGCTGCTGCTGCTGCTGCTGCTCCTGTCTCTGGTAAGCCCCGTCTCTGCGCAGCCCGCCGCCCCTGACCGAGCGCTGCTGTCCTCGGGTCTCGCGGGGGCTTCGGGGGTGCCTGCGGAAGAGGCCATTGTGCTGGCGAACCGCGGACTCCGGGTGCCCTTCGGGCGCGAGGTCTGGCTGGACCCGCTGCACGACCTACTGCTGCAGGTGCAGCCCGGGGACCGCTGCGCCGTGACTGTGCTGGACAACGACGCGCTGGCGCAGCGGCCCGGCCGCCTGAGTCCCAAGCGCTTCCCGTGCGACTTCGGCCCCCGCGAGGTGCGCTACTCGCACCTGGGCGCGCGCAGCCCGTCGCGCGACCGCGTCCGGCTGCAGCTGCGCTACGACTCTCCGGGAAGGGCGGTCGTGCTACCCCTGGTGCTGGAGGTGGAAGTAGTCTTCACTCAGCTGGAGGTCGTGACTCGAAATTTACCGCTGGTCGTGGAAGAACTGCTGGGGACCAGCAATGCCCTGGACGCGCGGAGTTTGGAGTTCGCCTACCAGCCGGACGCGGAGGAGTGCCGCGTGGGCATCCTGTCTGGCCTGAGCGCGCTGCCCCGCTACGGAGAGCTCCTGCACTACCCGCAGGTTCCTGCAGGAGCCGGAGAGGGGGGCGCCCCGGAGCCCTTCCTGATGGACTGCAGAGCATTCCAGGAGCTGGGCGTGCGGTACCGCCACACGGCGCCCAGTCGCTCACCGAACAGAGACTGGGTGCCCATGGTGGTGGAGCTGCGTTCGCGAGGCGCTCCTGTGGGCAGCCCTGCTTTAAAACGCGAGCACTTCCAGGTGCTGGTGAGGATCCGCGGAGGCGCGGAGAACACCGCGCCCAAGCCCAGCTTTGTGGCCATGATGATGATGGAAGTGGACCAGTTTGTACTGACTGCGCTGACTCCAGACATGCTGGCGGCAGAGGATGCTGAGTCGCCCCCGGACCTCTTGGTCTTCAACCTCACTTCTTCCTTCCAGCCTGGCCAGGGCTACTTGGTGAGCACCGATGACCGCAGCCTGCCCCTTTCCTCCTTCACTCAGAGGGATCTGCGCCTCCTGAAGATTGCCTACCAGCCCCCGTCTGAAGACTCTGACCAGGAGCGTCTCTTCCAACTGGAGCTGGAGGTAGTGGACCCGGAAGGAGCAGCCTCAGACCCTTTCACCTTCATGGTGGTGGTGAAGCCCATGAACACCTTGGCACCAGTGGTCACCCGGAACACTGGTCTGATTCTCTATGAGGGGCAGTCCCAGCCACTCACAAGTCCTTCAGGCAGTGGGCCACAAAACTTGGTCATCAGTGATGAAGACGACCTGGAAGCAGTGCGCCTGGAGGTGGTGGCTGGCCTTCGGCACGGGCACCTTTTCATTCTGGGTGCTTCCAGTGACAGCTCTGCTCCCAAGACCTTCACAGTGGCCGAGCTGGCAGCTGGCCAGGTGATCTACCAGCACGACGACCGCGACGGCTCCCTGAGTGACAACCTGGTGCTCCGCATGGTGGACGGAGGAAGCAGGCACCAGGTACAGTTTCTGTTCCCCATCACCTTAGTACCTGTGGATGACCAGCCGCCCGTTCTCAACGCCAACACAGGGCTGACACTGGCAGAGGGTGAAACAGTGCCCATCCTGCCCTTCACTCTGAGTGCCACCGACATAGATTCAGAAGACTCTCTGCTGCTTTTTGTGCTGGAATCACCCTCCTCCACCTCGGGCCACCTGCTTCTCCGCCAAACTCATCCTCCCCATGAGGACCAGGAGCTGACTGGGGGCCTTTGGAGGAAGCGTGGAGAATATTATGAGCGAAAAGTGACGGAGTGGCAGCAGAAGGACATAACGGAGGGGAGGCTGTTCTACAGGCACTCTGGACCCCACAGTCCTGGGCCAGTGATGGACCAGTTCACGTTCAGAGTCCAGGATAACCATGACCCGCCTAATCAATCAAGACTACAAAGGTTTGTGATACGAATTCATCCTGTGGATCACCTCCCTCCAGAGCTGGGCAGTGGCTGTCCGCTTCGGATGGTGGTGCAGGAATCCCAGCTCACACCACTGAGGAAAAAGTGGCTGTGCTACACTGACCTGGACACAGATGACCGAGAACTTCGGTACACAGTGACCCAGCCCCCCGTGGACACCGATGAAAACCACTCACCAGCCCCACTGGGCACTTTGGTCCTCACTGACAACCCCTCAGTGGTGGTGACCCATTTTACCCAAGCCCAGATCAATCACCATAAAATTGCTTACAGACCCCCAAGTCAAGAGCTGGGAGTGGCTGCTCGAGTGGCCCAGTTCCAGTTCCAGGTGGCGGACCGAGCCGGGAATGTGGCTCCTGGCACTTTCACACTTTACTTGCAGCCTGTGGACAACCAGCCACCTGACATTCTTAACACTGGCTTCACCGTTCAGGAGAAGGGCCATCACATTCTGAGTGAGACTGAGTTGCATGTGACTGATGTCGACACTGATGTGGCCCATATCTCTTTCACTCTTACACAGGCCCCTAAACACGGGCACATACAAGTGTCTGGACAGATGTTGCCTGTAGGAGGGTTCTTCTACTTGGAGGACATAAAACAGGGCCGAATTTCCTATGTTCATGACGGGGATATGTCCTTGGCTGATAGCTGCTCCTTGGAGGTCAGTGACAGACACCATGTGGTACCCATCACCCTCAGAGTGAATATTCGGCCAGTGGACCATGTGGTGCCCATGTTCAGCTTTCCCACTGGTACTCTGGAGTCCTATCTAGATGTTTTGGAAAATGGAGCTACTGAAATCACTGCCTATATTATTAAGGGGAGTAATGAGTACACTGATGATTTGATGCTAACTTTCCTGTTAGAAGATCCACCCTTGCATGGGGAGATCTTGGTCAATGGAGTTCTGGCAGAGCAATTCACCCAAAGGGACATCTTGGAAGGCTCTGTTGTCTATGCCCACACCAGTGGTGAGATTGGTCTGTTGCCCAAAATGGACTCTTTTAACCTGAGTCTGTCAGATATGTCTCAAGAATGGAGAATCAGTGGCAGTATTATCCAGGGCGTTACTGTGTGGGTGACCATCCTCCCTGTGGACAGTCAGTCTCCCATAATTTCTGTGAGTGAACAGTTTATAGTGTTGGAAGGTGACAAAAGTGTTATTACCTCAACACATGTAATTGCTGAAGATATCGACTCCCTGAATGATGACATCTTGTGCACAATAGTTATTCAGCCCACTTCGGGTTATGTCGAAAACATTTCTCCAGCTCCAGGCTCTGAGAAATCAAGAGCAGGGATTGCCATAAGTGCCTTCTCTCTAAAAGATCTCAGGCAGAATCACATTAACTATGTCCAGAGTGTCCACAAAGGGGTGGAGCCTGTGGAAGATCGATTTGTATTTCGTTGTTCTGATGGCATTAACTTTTCAGAGAGACAGTTTTTCCCCATTGTAATCATTCCCACCAATGATGAACAGCCAGAAATGTTCATGAGAGAATTTATGGTGATGGAAGGCATGAGTCTAGTGATTGATACGCCCATTCTCAATGCTGCAGATGCTGACGTTCCCCCGGATGATTTAACTTTCACTATTACCCAGTTTCCCACTCATGGTCATATCATGAACCAGCTGATAAATGGCACAGTTCTGGTCGAAAGCTTCACCTTGGACCAGATCATAGAGAGTTCCAGCATTATTTATGAGCACGATGACTCTGAGACCCAAGAAGACAGTTTTATGATTAAACTAACAGATGGCAAGCACTCTGTGGAAAAGACGGTCCTCGTTATAGTTATTCCTGTTGATGATGAGACTCCCAGGATGGCCATCAATAATGGACTGGAAATAGAAATTGGGGAAACCAAAATTATCAACAACAAGATATTAATGGCAACTGACTTAGACTCAGAGGACAAATCATTGGTTTATATTATTCGTTATGGGCCAGAACAGGGCTTATTACAGAGACGAAAACTTACAGGTGCCTTTGAAAATATCACGCTGGGCATGAATTTTACCCAGGATGAAGTGGACAGAAATTTCATTCGGTATGTTCATCGTGGGCGAGAGGGCATTCGAGACTTAATTAAATTTGATGTGACTGATGGGATAAATCCCCTCATAGATCGTTACTTTTACGTATCCATTGGGAGCATTGACATTGTCTTCCCTGATGTCATAAGCAAGGGAGTGTCACTGAAGGAAGGTGGGAAAATCACCCTCACAACAGACCTACTAAGCACTAGTGACTTGAACAGCCCTGATGAAAATTTGGTTTTTACTATCACCAGGGCTCCCACAAGAGGTCACTTAGAGTGCACAGATCAAACTGGAGTGTCCATCACATCTTTCACTCAGCTCCAACTAGCTGGCAACAAAATCTACTACATCCACACCGTGGAAGATGAGGTGAAGATGGACAGTTTTGAGTTCCAGGTCACCGATGGTCATAATCCTGTCTTCCGAACTTTCCGCATTTCCATTAGTGACGTGGACAACAAAAAGCCAGTGGTCACCATCCATACCTTGGTCGTCAGTGAAAGTGAAAGCAAGCTGATCACGCCCTTTGAACTCACTGTTGAAGACAGGGATACCCCTGACAAGCTCCTGAAATTCACTGTCACCCAGATGCCAGTTCACGGTCACCTACTCTTCAACAATACCAGGCCCATCATGGTTTTTACCAAGCAAGACTTGAATGAAAACTTAATCAGCTACAAACATGATGGCACAGAGTCGACTGAAGACAGTTTCTCCTTCACAGTGACTGATGGCACTCACACAGACTTCTACGTTTTCCCTGATACGGTGTTCGAGACGAGGAGACCTCAGATGATGAAGATCCGGGTCTTAGCTGTTGATAATAACGCCCCTCAAATTGCAGTGAATAAGGGGGCTTCTACACTTCGCACTCTGACCACTGGCCACTTGGGTTTCATGATCACAAACAAAATATTGAAAGTGGAGGACAGAGACAGCCCACACTTTTCTCTTCGGTTTGTTGTGACAGAGGCCCCTCAACATGGGTATCTTCTGAACCTGGGCAAAGGTGACCACAGCATCTCTCAGTTTACCCAAGGTATGTTTCACTTTTACTTTCCTATGAACAAAGGATTCCAGATCTTATGTCCTGAGTCTATGGATGCACTGAAAGCCTTAATACAGAGTGTTAGAGCCCAGGACAAGGGAGGGGAGGGAAAAGGAGAAATAGACTTACTTACAAAGCAGCTGCTTCTTTGCTGTGTGTTCCGCAGCAGTGACAGTCATTGGAAGGAGCATCAGTGTACAGGATTTTGATAGTGGCCGGATATGCGGCCAAAAGAGGGCAAGACTTTGGTAAATTAATATAGAAGTAGACTTTTCCACTCTGCTAGCTTTGCCACACCTTTCCCCTGAGCACACTCTATGGTGTGTGCTACGCGCACTGCGTGAGGCTTTCAGTACCTTACAGAGACACAAACTGTCTAAATTGTATTTATTCACATTGTTAGCAGTCCTCGCTCAAAATTCCTTTTATGTTTCTTTGATTAATCTTTAAGCTCATTGTGCTGATCTCGCTGTGGTTGCTAGGAACTGTATAAGTAAAAGCAAAATGCTTGCTGATACTTACTTTAAGATTTAAAAAATTATTTAGGAATATTTACTATTGCAGGCAAACACATGTCCAAAGACGTAGGAGATAAACACCTATCCAGAGCTGTAGCAAGTGTATGTTATACAGCAGAGCATACTGCTGGAGTATTCACCAAAAAAAAAAAAAAAAAACACGTCTGAACTCCAGTCACCTACCAGGATCTCGTATGCCGTCTTCAAAAAAAAAAAAAAAAAAAAAAGACCGTACACAAAAAGGAGAATATTGATGGTGGATAGGAAGATGATATGTTCATCACGAAACTATACACACATTTCAGTACTGGGAACCTGCAGATACGTGAACAAGATTCACAGTAGCAGAAGGAAAGGATTTCATCGTTTTAAGCCTTCTCTTTGCCCTGTTGGAAACTCAGTAACTGATACCAGTTGCCCTTGCACCTGCATTCTGAGGCAACAGAACTTTTCTCACCCAAGCTTCCCTTGGGGTGGACACAGTCTGAGACAGGAAAGGCAGGGTGACCGATGCAGAATTACTCAGTGACGGAAGGGAGAAGCCCATTCAGGTTACCGGCTGGGGAGTTAGGGCTCTGTTCGCTAGAATGTGCAACTTTTATTACAGAAGGATTCATGTTGCTTTCCTGAAAAACTCCCCACGTCAGACTGGAAACTGGATCTACCCTATGCGGGCTGTGTGGTTAGAGACGGAGTGAACCCCAGGCCATCCCAGTGGAGGTGTTCTTTTCCTGCAAGTGTATTCTGTTCCCAGATAACAAATGCTTTAATAAACATGGATGTAGCAAAGTGTAGTGTTAAAGTGACCTGCTTCTCTGTGTAATGCTGGCAAATAGCCTCACACTCCAGCCTCCCGATTCTTGGCTGTGCGCCTGAATATGTACATCCGAGGGCCTGCAGAGACAGGAAAGCATCGGAGTGCCAACTGTCAGCCAGACCAGCAGGAACCTTTTTGTGTGAAGGCTTTCTGGGGCTGGAGGTACCGTGCAATTTCACACTGGTTTGTTTTTGCGGAAAGCAAAGAGGATGAAAAGAATACATACAGGACAGAAAATAGCACTTCAAATCCTTTCTCTGCAAAGGAATCTGATTTTAGAGGATTAGGTTTTTTGTTTTTTTTTTAAGAATTTTTGGATGAAGACAGGCAAATGATTTAAAGTCTGAACCAAGTCCAACAACTCAAAATATTGGAATATTCTTCACTATAGAACCCTAAAATTATTCTATTTCATTATAGACAGCTGTACTTCCCATTGATTTTGAGTTCCCACAATGAATTATATGGTTTTTATAAGTGCAGTTATGTTTATTATAAAAAAACTTTTTAAAAATTAATTTTAAACTATCACATTCCAGAAGAAACTCAAATATTGACTGGAAAACTGATGGTGTTTGTTTACACAGCACTTATTTGAACAAGCTGAGGCTAGGCTTTGGTGCACAGCAGTTATTTATGAAGATTAGATAAGTTATTAAAAGTGGGAAAATCTCAATGGTTGCTTTACCAGCAGGAGAAATAAAAGTGGTACATAGAGTGAGGACTTATTTTTTTATTTACTTTTACTTTATCATTAAGGGATGAACTAACCTATATTTTGATGAATTTTTCAATGCACTGAATTAAGTCAATTTAGCAAAGGTAGTTTGAGGTCATTCTTTGGATTATTGACTGATATAGGTCCCCAGAAGAAAAAAGACTTACATATTTGCAAAATTTATTAAAGTTCATTATTAGGAATAGTAGTGATACAGAGTTAGGTGAATTCAGAAAATTATTTCTCTATTTTAAACTGCACCTTTTTGATGAGATGTCTCTGCCCCTCCCCCATCTTGGGTCTAAATCAGTTGCCTCAAGTATCTGCTTTTTCTTTTTGGTTTTTCTCCGGTACCGGGAATCGAACTCACCACCTTGCGCTTGCCAGGCAGGCGTTGTGCCGCTGCACTAAATCCCCAGCCCCTGCCTCAAGTACCTGGATTATTTTTTCTCAATAATAAGTGCATAATCATGTTTTGTGGAATAGTCTATAAATTGCTTTCAGGAAAGCAGCAATATGCCCAAAGTCTTTAAACAAGGTTGCTTACAGGGTATATTAATGAACTTAAAATTTTTTTTTCATTTTAAAGAAAAGAAAAATAAACAATAAAAGCATAAAATTTCAAAACAAGGTTGTAGGACAGGAACAATGGTTAGTATATTGCATATTATTATCTTCAAAGTAGTTGCTCATATTATAAGATATATGCATGAAAAATCTTTTAAAAATGGGATGATTGTGTAGATAAAAGGAAATAAATGTGATCTCATGTTTTATCACTGGAAGAAAATCTAGTTAATGCCTACATATTTGCTTAAATTAGACATACAGATATGTTTCAAAAACAATTTTAAGAAAGCTAGTGTATATGCATATTTGCAGCATATTTATGTTATTTTAAGGGATACTTTTGGATCATATTATAATCCATGTCTTTCTTGAGATTTTAAAAGTGTTGTGTTTTTCTTTTTTATTTAATTTTATCTTTATCAGTACATGTCTGCAGTACATTATAATTACCTTCATCCAGGGGAATTAGTACACATATATAACACATGTCAATTCTTTCTTTACCCCCTCCCTTTCTCTCCCTCCCCAGCCCTCCATCTCTCAGTCCCCTTTCCTGTTGCAAAGGTTCTAGCTCCCTGTCTCCTTTTACCTATCTTTTACTTTGATATTTAACTTATTTATTCTTTGGATTTCTTGTATAAGAGAAATCATGTCCTTTTTGAACCATGAGTTAATGTTAACAAAGTTATAAGGAAAATGAAGGGGGTTTTAGTATGACCAACTAATCAATATCATGTTCCCTGATTAGAGAGGAACTGTGACCCGAATGTTGTGTAATTACATTCAAGTTTTCTCTCACTTATGAAAGGAAGTTCTAAAAAGTCAGTCTTGAGGCTATAAATTATTTCAGTGAAAATGTCTCTTGAATATTATATTTTTATTTAAGAAAACACTAATACAGATGTTGGAAATACTAAATAGGTTTTTCTTATCTCCTAGTACTACAACTTTTATTTTTATTTATTTATTATTATTATCATCATCATTATTATTATTATTGTTGGTCTTTTGAGACAGAGTCTCTCTACTTAATTCAGGCTGGCCTCGAGCTCACTTTGTAGCCCAGACTGGTATTGAACTCACAACGATTCTCCTGCCTCAGCCTCCTGAGTGCTGGGATTACAAGAGTGTGCCACCACACCTGGCAATATCCAGATTTTTTTTTGTACTGGGAATTGAACTCAGGACCTTGTGCTTGCCAGGCAGGCGCTGTGCCACTGAGCTATATCCCTGGCCCCAGCTTTAAGGTTTTCTTGTCAATCGTAAGAAAAGGTGGAAACATTGGAAAAAGATTTTTACACTTGGCATGAGATCATCATCCTTAAGGTAAGGATGTGTAGTCAGCAGAGTTTGCTTCCTCACTTGAAGAACTGAGCTATAAGAGTAACCTAAGAGCCGTACAGGGGCTTTCACTCCTTTCCCCAACAAAATGCATGAGTATGAAGGCAGAGATGCCCTGTGTTCTAACAGACCATGCAGTGCCTTCACTTCCTCATAAGAAACATTTGTGCTTGTACTGATTAGAAGACTTTGAGAAAAGAACTGTGAGAAGTTAAGATTAAGACAAAAGAAAAAGTTTTCAGTCTCCTTGTAAGATACATGTACAGGAAGATGGATAGTGCCTCTAGACAGAAAGTGTGGGAAATTATAGAAGAGAAAAATGAATCTCTACAGGAGAACAAAACATCTTTGATTTCACTTCCAAGTACCTCTATGCAAAAGAAGACAGTATTAAATTGAAAGTCAGATTTTCCCCTCCCTGGGCATTCCTGGTTGTAAGTCACCTTCCAGAGGGAAGATAGAGCATACACTTTACATCTATAAAGTGGAGCTATAGAAATTCTTGGAATAATTTGTTGATCCTGATGCTTTACTTATTTTAGATGATTCAGAGTCACTGTCATATATAGCTGCCTTAAGCCACCATAGCATGAACTCAGCAGAGCTTTGAAGAGTTAAAAGAAAACAAAAATACAATAGGATAAGAAAATATACCACATTGAAGATATTTTTAGCTATGATCTGATTTTCTGGAAGCTCACTGATAGACCCACATCAACTCTACTATGATCTGTTGGGTGTACGATAGAACAAAATAATTGTTTTATTATGTTGTCTGTAGGAGAGGAGGTAGTGAAATGGATGAATAAATTTTAAAATTTGTGCTTTAGTAATGAAAACTAATCCAGGCAAGAAAATTTGATAGAGTAAGAAGTAACACGGAGATCATTTCTGAGGCAGCATAGCTTTCTACTAGGAATATGGGTTTCCATTTTCATTAGGCTTTCATTGTTATTATTGCTTTAAATTCTCCCTGATGTTAAGTCATGATAGTTATTTTAATCTGTGGGATTAAAAACTACTCCTTGATTTTTCCTTTCAAATTCTGGAGAGCTTAAAAATAGCCTTCCATAGTAACAAAAGGTAAGAAAAGCAAGCCAGTGTGGGGAGGCAAAGCCTCTTTCTTCTGAGGCCCAGCCCTACAAAAAGGGAAAGAATGTGATTTCAAGAGGGCCAAGAAATCTGCCATGCCCCAAAATATCTCCGTTCCCACCTGTCATGGTGTCTGACATTCCATCTTTAGGGAGTCACTCCTTTGGTACATGAACATGCAAATACTACTGGGATGGGCAACACCTTGGTATTATTATAACCTAAGTCTTGTGCTCTGTTTATCTGTGTAAGGGATCTGATTTCTATGGGACAGCTGGAATCAAGGGGCTTAGATATCTGAGAAATAAGATAGCACTGTCCTCCGTAGAAGGGGATTTAAATAGGCTTACAGAAAAATAATACCCAGTAGACTGTTCCATAAAAAACAAGTCATCAATTTTACTATGGTAATTAATCTTATGTTTTGATTATTTTCTAGCTGACATTGATGACATGAAAATATGCTACGTCTTAAGAGAGGGAGCCAATGCCACAAGTGATATGTTCCATTTCACAGTTGAAGATGGTGGTAAGTGTTCTAGTGTCCCAGTAATGGGACCCAGGAGAGAGACACTTCTTAGTTGCACTTTGACTTTTTTGTAAGGAATCTTCATCAAGCATTATTCTATACTTATCTGAATGCATGCAGAGAGGAATTGGACATTCGCTGTAGAAAGCTTTATGGTTCCAATTTGACACCACCCTACTCTGTAACAACCAGAGATAAATATTCTAGTTATTTTGTGTCTTATGATTTGTAAGCACGAAACAGAGACATTTGTGTATATAGGATTGTCAAATCCAGTTGATCAGATTACAACCGTGTCAGGCAGACTACTTGACAGAGAGGATGTGGGATTCATCCCAGCTCCATGCACAGCCATGGCCTCCTGGGTGCATCTGTGCCAGTGGGCTACCTTTTTCTGATTTGTACCTGGGTGTTGGTGTGAACTAATGCTGATGGATAAGGTGTTGAACTCGTGAAGAACTCAGTGCTAAATGAAGGTCTGTGTTTTTTCCCCATCTCAGGATGTCTAATGATTTTCTTAGTTGGAGGATTGTGAGTTTTAGTCTAGCTATCAGTTTTCCTTGGTGGAGTCTGAAAACCACTGTAGAGAATGGGATCTTACGCTCTATCTAAGTCTTCTGAACTATATTGTTGTGATTATTCCCCCCAAAATGACAGCCATCACCCCATGGTTCTCATTCTGAACCCTGTACACTAGGAGAAAATCTGGCCCCTTCTGGGTTGATTATAAAGATGTTTTTGTTCTTGAGTGCTCTCAAAGGAAGCCAGAACCTCTCCAAATGCTTACGTTGTGCGAACAGGACACAGGAAGTAAGAGGGAAGAGAAAAGGGAAAAGACAGGAGATTCAGACTCAATTATCTGTTTCTTTATGATAACTTTCTTTTTTAAAGTGGCAATCTATTATGTCATTCATCTCAAAAAGATTGCATCTATATCCTCTGCACTCATTGAAGCATAAATAGAATTTGTCTAAAATATCCCTGGACACCACATGATCACAGTTCTGAGAAATGACATCCAGTGGGTGGGTACCACAGAGGCAAAAAGGGGTTTTAGTTTGGGCTGAAGTACTTGTTTCCTAGTATAAATCAGAGGCTCACCACAGCCAATGTTCTAACTTTGAAAGTAAACAAATCACAGTTTAGTATTCTGTATACTAATAAAAGGAACCCAGCAAGGAACAAAGTTCTAAGAAAGAAACCAATTTAAAAATTACATTTGTTCAATCTTGCTACACAAAGGGTACATTCTATTTAAATAAACTATAGAGTAAGATCCTGAAGTAGTCAGTTATTGGTTCAAGTCACCCAATTTATCTAATAGAATGCCTGAACAAACCTTAGTAGCAAAAGTATGAAGTTTACAAAATAAATTTAAATTTTGATAGTTGCTGTTATTCTAAAATATTATAGATTATACTTCTTACATTTTGTTTTTTTCCCATCTGTCTATCTGTCTGTCTTTCTATGCATCTATCCAAACACACAATGTAATATTATTCTACCATTCTTCACATTTTTAGCTGAGTAGTTTGGTAACATTTACTTCAAGATTTTGGTCTGTATTCAAAAATTAAAAAACATAACATATTGTCACATTTCAAAATATTAAGTGAGGAATGACTAGCTGAACAGGTCCAGCTTATGTTTGGAAGTGCTGAAAAAGTAGTGGGGCCTGTAAAGATTGTCTTTGTGTTTATGGAAACAGGAATGAAATCGTATCAGCATTTTTAGAGTTTTGGTTTCACATGGAGAGAAAAATTCCTGAGATACTCTTCTGTATCCTCTTCCTTTCCACAGGCATAGCATTACTTACAGGGCTCACATAGATTTTGGCCAACTGTTATGGGACAGAATCTCTGTGCACCTCCCTGATATAAGAAAACTTCCCTTTGAAAGAATAAAAACAGAAATCTGCAAGACTGAGAAAGAAAAAGCAGCATGCATATGTGAAATTTGATGTAATCCAATTCCTTTATTAGGGTTTTTTTACATTATATTGTAAATAGTCTAGCATTTAGGTGAGAAATTCAATGCCTTTTAAACTTTCAGAGTATCAGCAGGAGTGATTTGTTGTCATCTCCTTTATGCAGCGGTAGTCAGTATACCCGCCAAGTCAGCCCTGAGGTATCTCCTTCAAGCTGCACAACTAGGAAACCAGATTCTTTCCCCAAATAGTGATAACTCATAACTTATTGAGTTAGCAGAGTTATGAGAATTAGACTGACAGAACTTTGCCAGGTTTCATAAGACAAGGGAAAACTCTTGAATTACTCTGGATTCTTCAGACTGAGTTTTTAAGAATACCTGATAAGAATAAGGTCAGAATAAGATCTGTGGGCAAAGGGTACAGAAATTTTTGTGTCATCAGGTTTATCAGTTTTCATATTAAAATACTTTAAAGGGTATACTTTCTTCAGCTTTGTACTACTTGTCCTTGGAATCAGAGTGTAAGTCTGAAAATTGTTATTTGGCCATGAAATATGTTTACTAAAATGTTAAGGAAGAAAATGAAAATGTTGCATCCAAATAGTCCATCGGTCCAGGTGTTCTGAGGCCAACAGGCAGATATGAGTGCATAGGTATAATCTATAAAGTCAGACGCTGGAGCTTAGGACTGTACTTCAGTTATCCATCTGATGAGCTTGTGTATATAAGTATGGGGACTGTACTTGTTATTGAGGTAACACATCTTCCATTTCTTTTCGATTTCACCTTTTACATCTTCATGAGAGTAACTCACTGTTATGGTTGATACACTGTGTCAACTTGGGGAGTCTAGAGGTTTGGCTAAGTAACTTAGCAGGAAGCCAGGGTGCTTACTTTGTATACATCCTGCGCATGTGGAAGAAGAAGGCATGGAGATTATGTGAGAGCTACACGCCCGTTAGGTGGGGTAGCCTGTTTACAAAGTAAGGCAGGGAAAGAAGCTGCTTGCCGCCATTCCTCCCGTTTGCTCTGCCTGTCTGCTGTTCGGCTGCCATTCCCCCCTTTGCTCTTGTTGCTTTGCTACCTTCTGCCTCGGAGCCAGCCAAGTATGGACTAAAACCTCCACAAACTGTAAGCTAAGTAAACCTTTCCTTCCTTCATTTTGGGTGCTGGGCATCTTGTCTCAGCAATGAGAAAAAAGTAACCAAGACACTCACCATATAATAACACTGCAGATCCAGGAAGTGCATCCTATGGACGATTGCCTCTTTGAACTCTAACTCTGGATCTAATACTCTGCAATTTTGTCAGAGGAAAGGAAACATTTATTCTTTTATCCCCTTTCTAGTTGAACATATTCTTATCTGATTTCTTCTCGGCATTCAACTCTGTAGTTTTTCTATAATGTATTCTAACATGAAAGTGCTGTTCTGGCTCCTTTGTAGTTTTCTTTCCAAGGAGCTGCTGTAATGCTTCACTGTGATGTGAGAGTTAGACTGACAGAACTTTGCCAGGTATGTCCCACCCGCCTCAGCCCCCGGCTCAAATGTCGTTTCCTCTCTACAGTTGTTTCCGATCCTCATAAGGAAGTCAGTCATACCCTTCTTTATGCTCCTATTCCTAAATTTATTTAGGAATCCAGAATGTCCTATTATGATCACTTGATAATGTGAAGTTTTCCATTAATAGGAAAAGCGCTCCTTCACATCTAAAGGATATCATTAATCTTTGTACCTCATTGTCAACTCAGGGCTGAGCACATGGCAAATACTTAACAAATATTAAAAAGACTGAAGGAATAAATAGGAGAAAAAACTCATTGTGTGTGTGTGTGTGTGTGTGTGTGTGTGTGTGTGTGTGTGTGGTGCTGGGGATTGAACCCAGGTCTTTTGCACTGAGCCTCATCCTCAGCCCTTTCTTTTATGTTTTATTTTAAGAGAGGCCGTCACTAAGTTGCAAAATTACACAGGCTGGTCTTGTACTTGCAGTCCTCCTGCCTCAGCCTCCCAGGGTGCTAGAATTACAGGTATGCACCACTATGCCTGGCATCCATTTTTACACTAGGATCAATTGAATAATATTCTAAAAAAGTTTCTGTAAACAATTTCCAGTGGACCCTTTGCATTCTTTTAGAACATTCTCTTATCCTTACTTTAGTTTAAATCCCTGTGGCACCAAGAAAGATTTTTAGTAAAGCTTTTATATTTATAAACACAGGGAGCTAACTGCTGTCAAATTCCTTTGAAATCTTTAGTGAAATATACTTAAGATTGAAAAGATTCACAGTAACCACCAGCGTGCAGCTCATATTAATCTTAAAGAATTCTTTTCAGGAGAAAAGTTGTCAGTATTTTCCGTAAACAATTACACAATTTAAAATTTAAAAACGAAGAAACTTTTTTTGTAAGATACTGAAATTTTAAAGCCAGAACCACTACCATAAGTATTTTTAAATTTTGTTGTGCCCAGGTTTTTTCTCATATGATATGAGACAACATAGAGACAGATAAGTAGAAAGCTCTATTAGCATAAATCATCCCCAGTTCTTTTTAAAGGATATTATGTAAACTTCTATTATTTTTTTTTTTCAGTCTGAAGTCCTTAGTACTTGATCAAAGATGTATATATGCATGTATTTGGGGGGTGTGTCTGTATGTGTGTGTGTGTGTGTGAGAGAGAGAGAGTGTCTGTGTGTATGTGTATATGTTTGGCTCCCAACCTGAACCCAGGACCATTGCATGCTAGGCAAACACTCTATCCCTGAGCTATGTCCTGCGTCCCAGCCTGTTTCTTCATGGGCAGAAGGAAGAGTAGAGACATGTGATTGTCTGGCTTGATTACAGAGTAAGAGAAGCCTTAGTTTTTTCTTCATTGTGAAAACTGGTCTGCTGCTTCCTCACTTGAATTCTCGTATGACATGGCCATGAAACCTGAGTTCTCCCTGCCAGTCTTGGCTCTGGAACTGGGGCAGCAGACACATCTGCCTTGACCATTACAGTATATCTGATCCACAGCCAGACATTTTTGTTGCTGTTTTTGCCTGTGTCTTTTGATGCCCAATTTCCCATCCA